AGACCATGGCAACCACCGGATGATGTCGGAAAATCGATTGTATCTGTGTTTTTTTCGAAACCCGTGAGTGTTTTCAGCATCCCAATTGGCTTGTTTGTGATGGGCTAGACATTTGAGGTCCTTCAAATGAACAGCAAGCAGTGCAGAGCTCGAGCCGGAGGAACCTTGGTATTCCTCTCGTTGTCCCTGAGGACCAACTTCCTTTGTGAAAGAAATGGTCCTTGAAGTACTGAATATTCTCGCTTGTCAACACACTCCTTCAAAGACCCTTCCGCCCAAAAGGGTGTGTCTTCTCTTAGGACTTGGACCCCCAAAACTGGGCGGGTGTTGCTTTAGTTTCTTTACAGGCCAACCCAAAAGGGGTACCCTCTAAAAATTGGACACCCCCCAAAAGCAAATCCTCAGAAACCGGGCCGCAGACCTGTGGGCCCACCGCGCGAGCGCGCAAGTCGTTAGGACCTATCGGCGATCTGTCCAGCCACAAGGCTCGAAGTGAGAAGTTGGGGCAGTTCTCGGGCCCTTTTTGGCCACGTAGATACTGTGCAGGGGTGGGGTGAAAGAAAGCGAGATAAAAACAAACAAAACTCAAACGAGATTAAATTTCGGGCTGTGCAGGCCAACCAATGCATCAGAGTCTCTTCTAAAATGTCAGATCGATGGTCCGAGGTTTTGGGCTGGGTTCCCCCCCCCCCAAGCTCCCGTTTTGTTTGGCGGGCTCCCTGAAGTCCAGATGCGACGGGCGCCTCGATGGAGCTCCCTGCAGGCTCAGTCATCGATAGCTGATTCGGAGGTCGCAGCCTCAGGCTGAGCAGAGTGTGTCCCATGCCAGCCGTCCGGTTCCTTCTAGGTTGTTGTTTTTTTTGGATGGTTTTAGTGTGTTTCCGTGTAACCCAATAAAAATTAAGCGTTTAGATGGGGATGTGAGGACAGCACCGGTATTGTGCCATATCATCCATATTCTTCTACCACGCTGAGTAAAAACCTTGTCAAGGGGTTGCTGTGTGGAAGCCCTGTTCTAACGGGCCCCCTTTCCCCACACATTCAGTCCATTTTCCGCCCGTTTCCTCCCAAACCGCCGAAAAGAGGAAACACAACAAACATATACAGCGTTGTTTCCGGCCAGTGGCTATCCCCTGAAACCTCTCGGGTTTGTTTTGTTGCAACCAGTTGGTTGAAAGTAGCTGGCACAATTCCAATGCATTCTGGTTTGCTCCCCCCCTTCACTTTCCGGGGATGCTGAGGCATCATGTTTCCCACTGGCATTTGCTGTTTTGGCCTTCAGGAGTCTGCTCTCCAGCACCGAGCAACCTTAGAAGGTGCGGAGGGATGGAGTGATCCGCTCAGTTTGCGAGAAGATCCGCATTGGTGGCAAAATGCAGTGGACTTCCCCGAGTTGGTTGTTTATGCCAGTATTCCAATCGGGCTTCATCCATCAACTGGTGGTGCGAAGTGGGTTTTGTCCATGCGGATTTGGACCAAGTTGGGTTTGCCTGGCTGCCTGTGAATCCAACCTGAAAAGGGTAGCTCAACAATCACACGCACCCATTGTGCAAGGCGGCCAGGTTGCAAGCAAGCACAAGGACATCAGCGAGCTGGAAACGCAATGCTAGTCTAAGGGGCCATCTTTACATCTTCGTTTGCATGACAGGGCTCAGGCAGGTGGGTTTGGCATGAGGCAACTGGTGACAAAACTCACGAGCAATCCTAAGACTTGTTAGGTGAGGAGGCAGGTATGTCATGAGCTTTGAGAACTGTCCGCTTCTCGAAGACAAGAAATTGTAGTTGTCCTGCACGCGCGAAAGCGAAACGACCTTCAATCCCATTTTGCAATCCGAGACAGCGACGCAAAAGCGATTTCCTTATCTAAACCTGTTATCCCACGCAAGCTGATGTTTCTCTTCGGCCCCACGTGGGTTTAGAACACTGCTCGTTGCCAGTGGATAGTTTTGAAGTTTGACTCCCCAGAAGCCTCGCGATTCCCCACTAAATCAGCCTTTAGCTAAACTCTCGCCCTCTCTTCCTGGAGGTAGTTCTCCCGACCGCCCTTCGGTGAGCTCATGCCACCGGAGAACATACCTTGTGCTGGGTGGTTTCCAAATAAAACCACCCCCCAATGGTACCTCAACCATGGTTACCTGTGCAGGGATTTGCAAAGCAACCACACACACACACCTCAAAAACAAACGAACGCATGTGATTTGCAGAGGCAGCAACTTGAGCGTGTCTTAGTTTAGGCAACCTCCAAAACGGGTATCGAGCCTCAAAATCGACACCCACTTGCCTTTGCTTGAGACCTATTTCAGGAAACGGGAAATCCAGAGACCTCGGTTTGCCCTAGAGCCAGCAATGATTTTTTGGGGATGACTGGGCAAAAGAAACCCTCAACTGTTTTGGATTGGGGGTGGGAATTGAACCTTTGGTTCTTGAGGGCAAATGGGAAAACGACCCCCAGAACATCTCCAAACCACCACCTTGTTTAGCACACTCGCCCAAACACCCGTTGGCCAAGGGAATTCTACCACCTTTCGGGATTTTAGGCCCAAGCACCATGGTCCAAATCATTTGCTCAGCTTCTTGTGGGGTTGACTCGATTGGAGTTCCAGGGTTTCTCAAAATCGGGGGCCCCTTGCTTTCGGGATGGTTTTAAAAATGGAAGCCGGAAAACAGAACCACCTACCTTTCTTTTTTTTTAGGGAACAAAAACAGGGGCCCCCCTTCTCTCGGCTGGGACACCCAAAAGGAGACCAAGAATTGGGCCCCGAATTTCGGAAATTTAGGCCCAAACACCATGGTCCAACTAAAAATTGCTCAGCTCGGCTTCCTGTGGGGTTGACTGGGAACCACCTACCTGGCAGCCCCGAATGTCTGGAACCCACAGGCTACAACAGAACCACCTGGATGAAGCAGCGGCCCCCTTTTTTCGGATGGGGCACCTTCAAAGGAAACCAATTCTTGGGCGAGTTTCCGGAACCAGGCGAATTAAGCCAAACAAACCACCTGCCTGGAAAGAGCCCCCCATTTTTTTTTGGCGCCGCAAACTTGGCCGTGGCCGGCTTCAGCCTTCACCGGCGCCTAAGCTTTAAGCTTTAAGTTAACCAATAAGCCCCCTGCAGTGAATCTCCCAATCTCTCGCCACAGGCTGGCTCTGGGTGCACAGCAGCGTCCTTCTGCCGGGCTCCTTGGGCTCTGAGTGGGCCAGCTGCGCCAGCTCCGTGGCGGAGGCCGGGGGTCTCCAGAGATCCGGGCGAGACGAATCTCGCGGTTTTGTGGGGGAACCCCCCCCCGTTTCCTGGAAGACGTGTCTTCTTCTTTTTTTTGGGGGGGAGGAAATCCAAGAGAGAACCAAACAGGTTTGGGGGATTGCTTGGAAGACTTGTTTTGTTTTGGGAAATCCAAGAGGAACACAACAGGCTTGGGGGTACTGCCCAGTTTGAGACAAGCCAGTATAGTAAAATCGAAATACAGAACATGGTCAGGACATGTCATTGTTGTGCATCTCAGTAATTGGGCCAAGTGGAAGCGTTTGCTTTTTGGGGGCGCACTTGGTTTTGACTAAGTAGTTTGGGTATCCATTTGGGTGTGGCTCAAAATTAATCAGGAGGGGTTACGCAGGTTTTGGTCCATGTTTCCACTTACTGGGGTTCCAGTTTGGTATCGGTGTTTTGAGCCAAAGCCGTTTGAACATCTTGGTAAAAATCATCTACTCAAAGGCCAAGCATAGGGACCCAAGTGAGCCCCTTTGGAAGGTGGAACAAAAATCGATTTCGAGAAGCGCTTCTCAAGGCCTCCTTGAGGGGTCCCAATCCCCTTTTACACCACCAGAGGTGTCCGTTGTTTAGTTTGGCTAGAAATAGATGGGTTCCAGTGGATTAGATCGGTGTTTTGCCATCCATTTACCAGGCCCATTTTCCCGAAAGGTCATCTATGTAAGCCACCATTTAGAGGGTAATGTGTCACTTACTTGTCATTATGGGCCCAGGCGATCTCGGTGAAAGAATCTCTTGAATGGGAAGTATGCGGTGGAACACAGCTGAACTGACATGAAGGTGCCATCAGAATCCTTTGGTGGAGCTCTTGAGGCACAATTCAAGGAGTAAACAATGCTGGCGAGGGAAGGGACACACAAATCATGATGATCATGATCATGATCATGATGACGATGATGATCATGATGATCATGATCATGATCATGATGACGATGATGATCATGATGATCATGATGAGGATGAGGATGATGATGATGATGATGATGATGATGATGATGATGATGATGACGATGATGATCATGATGATCATGATCATGATCATGATGAGGATGATGATCATGATGATCATGATGATGATGATGATGATCATGATCATGATGACGATGATGATCATGATCATGATCATGATGACGATGATGGTCATGGTGATCATGATGATCATGATGATCATGATGAGGACGATGATGATGATAATGATGATGATGATGACGATGACCAAGATCCTGCTCCTCACGTCGCACTGCCTGTTCATCGTTGTACCGTGTCTATCTCTCACGAACGAACGAACGGCCTGGAAAGAAGGGAAAGGCATGTGGGTTTGTTCCCCAGATGTCCTGAAGTGATACATCAAGCGATCGGATGATATTCGCCTCTCCTGCTAGCAATCTTTGAGCATACCACAAGGCTTAAAGTCGCCTTTTTCTCGGCTGCCTCCTGGATTTGTCCTTCCAAGTTTTTATGGAGCGTCTTCCCCTTGGTTTCCCTTCCCCTCCCTTCAACAGCAACAAGCGGCGTCAGGAGGCTGCGGATCGCGGGCCCCACCGGATTTGGGGCAGCCTGTGCCGGCGCCTCTGGGTATGTCTCGTCGGGTTGGCCCATCCGGCTCCTTAGTTACCTTAGTTTTTGTTTGGCTTGTGTGTGTTTTTTGAGTTGTTTTCGTGGTTGAGTTTCCATTTAGCCCACTTAAAAGTTAAACTTGAGAGCCTCCGGCTCAGTCCGCCGACATTGTCCTCT